TGCGATGTCGTGGCGTCGATGACGTGGCACAGCGGTCGGCGGCGTTGTCGATGATGTGGCACAATGGCGGCGACGAGGAGGAGCTTCTTGCTCCGATACCAGTGTAACGAGTACGAGGTCGAGGGAGACAGGGAGAGCCGAGGGAGAGGAGAGAGAGAGAGGGAGAGAGTGAGAGCACACACACACACTCACTCACTCGACACGACACGACCGAGGGTCGGACACAGACACAGTGGCAAGGACACAAAGTCGAAGTCTTGGATTCCCCAATGTCGAAACATGAGCAAGTCACACTGAGTACGAGTACAGCAGCTGAAAGCTGGTACGAGGACTGGTCCCCGTACCGTACGGGGAGCCGGTATAAGTACCGGTGACACATACGGTACTAGGGGCATTTCTGCAAAGGCCCCGAGGGCAAAACTGAAAAATGCAGTATTTGAAAGTGGCGCCCGAATTACAGCATGGCGCCAGTTGTCCAAAATCCTACGGTACCAAAGGAGGGGTTTGGAAAAAGGGTGCCAGGCCGAAAACGGGATGCAACTAAAACAGCAAAAGATAGACCAGGGATCGAGCCCTGGCGGAGTCCGTAACAGGGTGGGGCGACAGTGGCTGGTGCTGGAGCAGTGACTCTGTGACCATGAGGAGCTTGAGGCCATTGGAGTTTGCCGAGGGTGGAAGGCATAACCACCTCTTTCAACGTAGTTGATGCTGGGGCAGTGACCCTGGAACCCGGTAGGGGGGTTGACAGCTAAGGAAGTTGTCGAGGGAGGAAGACGCTTCATGTCCGTCAGAAAACAGTCAGTTCGGTGCTGGGGCAGCTTGTGTTGCCTTGTAACCCTAACAAGGGGGGGGTGAAAATTGGCGACTTTTGGTACGAGGACTGAAAGCTTGAGTGACGGTTTATCGCCTGTAGTGTGGGTTTGGTTTGGATTGGTGGTGGTTTCAGCTCTGATTTTCGTTTCTCTAATTTCCTTTTCTTAATTTCTTGGAATTATTTTTGAATTTCACAGAAAAGGGCTGAGTGGGATAAGTAGATGGTTGGATATCAAGCGTCCTATTAGTGAGGGGGCTAGCTCGTAGGATGGAAATAGGGTACAACAGCAGTGGAGATGGTGGCTCCACTGCAGTAAGTCTTGTCAGAGGGAGGTAAGGAGGATTGAAGGGGGGTTTCTGAGTTGTTTTCTGAAGTTAAAAAAAAAAAACGGTAATGACACAAGAAGAAAATAAGGAGAGTGGGAGAAGATAGTGGGTTATCACGCGT